TGTATCAATATTTTTTCCCTCGTCTTTAGAAGTTTTTAAGTCTGTAAAAAAGAAGTTTTTGAGGAAGAAGAAGAAGTAGTATTTTTTTAGACTTTAGAAACTCATAAGCTGATCAAATATCGGGTTAAATACCGGTTGGGTGGCCGATGTCCGATATTCAGTTTTTTCAGGGAGGAGAAACTGTCCCAGTGTTACTGAATCTTTCACAGCTGGCCGTGGCTGATACAGTAGCACTGTTACCTTGCAGCAAGAAGGTCTAAGGTTTTTTTAAATTAACATATTTATTTACATATGACTGTTTTTTGTAGTGTTGCGCTGATGCCATTTTTTGGCCCCAATACTGGTACCTGATACCTGGCTGTGCAGTATTGGCCGATACTACTTGGATGTAAAATAATTCCCATCATGGCTTTGTCAAGTTGCTGCCTAACTTTGTGAAGCAGGAAAAAGACTTAAACAAAGTGAATCCAGTAGAACTTTTTATTGTCTATCTGGAATGGGTGACAATAGTTGAATAAACTTTTGGCTCTCAAAATGGCATCGGTGCCCTATTAGTTGGTACCGATACCACCATTTTAGTGCTGGATTGGGGCCCCGCCTGATACTGGTATTGTTGCAACACTAGATTTTTGTGCTTGTTTTTTTATCCCAAATGTCTCTGTTATGAACTTGTGACCCTTGCACTGTGTACCCTGCCTTTTGCTCTCTGACAAAACTCCACAAGGACAACTAATCAAAGAGTCTCAGATTATCAAAATAGCAACAACTCAGCACCTTAGGAAGCCATACATTTTTATATTGCTAATGTTTCTCATACTATTGTGAATATCGTGAGAAAAAATGAAAATATCCTGTTATAATAAGAGCTTTTATTATTTTTTTTTTATCAAGGAAGCATTTTCTCTGGAATGGAAAAAAGTTTATTCAGTGACATTTATTCATGTCTCTCTCAGTTCCCCCAAACATCAAAGGGGAGGAGGTGAATTCAACCGTGATGCTCGGTGGTCCAGTAGAGCTGCACTGCCACAGCAACGCGGTGCCTCCCCCAACCCTGTCCTGGAGAAAAGATGGCCGTCCTATTTTAAACAAACCTGGTCTGATCGTCTCTGCAGACGGAAGTTTTTTAAAGGTACTTAATGTTTTTGTTTCAGTGGATTTCAATAGCCTTGATCCCCTTTGAACATTTTATCACCATAACATCATATACTTAAAAGGTGGAAAGTAAATGAACAGTGTTTTTTTTTTTTTTTTTTACTGACATTAAACTTTTAAAAGTAGGGTGTGTTTTTCTGTTCAGCCAGCTTTACTCTGATATCCCCCAAGCTGTGGTGTCTGATCACACTTGTTATGAAGATGGACTTACACTGCAAAAACGATCTAGAAATAAGTCAAAATTTCTTAAATTAAGTGTATTTACCCTTGATTTGATTAGGTAAATAAGATGATTTGCCAATGGAATGGGGATTTTTAACTCTTAAAGTGGAGTCTAGGCGGATGTTCAACTGAAGAAGCTGATTGTTCTCCTCCATCCACCTGCGACACAGTCAATCAGCTTTGAACCACACCTAAACGAAAGCCAATCGGCATCCAAAATTCATCTTAAAAGGCCTCCGATCTGCAACTCGTCCGCTACCTAGTGCGCAGGCGGAAGATGCGCCGTGACTTCATTCAGATGACCCCCTTTCATCTCACCTCCAGCCCCTCCTTCACCTTTGTAGCTAAAATGTAATCAGTTTCATTCCTCTCGGACTCTTATTGCATTCCGCTTCTCATTTCAACCAGTCCAACAGAAGACCGCCATGTTGAGCCTGGTTCTGCCAGAGGTTTCTTCCCAACGGGGAGTTGTTCCTCTCCACTGTCGCTTCATCCTCTCTTATCATGGACAGGTTCTCTCAACCTGTGTCATCCAAACTGGACTTCCATCTTCCAGGTCCCTGATTGAAGCTTTAGTATCAGCTCATGCAATCTACTGGATCTCTCCACACAGCTCAGCAGACTGTCTCGCTAACCAGCAGTCTACAGACTGACCAACTTCATCTATCTCCACTCCACCACCAGTTTCAGGCCTGGGGGGGAAACAGCCCTATTCTTTGCTCCTGTTCATTCATATCTATGAAAATGAAGCGCTATGTTTCCTGCCGAGGTCTGAGCGCCAAAGACAAACTAATTGTATCAATAGATTTCTTCTAATTGTCTTTTCTCTTCGTGTGAGTTTTTCAGATTAAAAAGGTAATTAGATAATATACACTTGAAATAAGACAATTAAATCGTCATTTTTTTTCTTATTTTAAATGTAAATTGTCTTGTTCCAATGGCAAAGTGTCTCAGTTACCTCCTCAATAAAAAAAAAATGCCCTTATTGTAAGACAAAATGGCTTATCTAGATTCGAATTTTTTCCAGTGTAGTGCGCTGTATCAATACAGCGCACTGAAGGAAAAAAAAAAGGTTGTGAAAGACTTAATACTGGAATGAACATATCCCTTAAAAAAATAAACAAGCTTCAGTAATTTTCCGTCCTGATACTTTTGCACACCTGCTTGTATTAATTTTGTCACTTCATCAGTAGATGAAGTGACAAAATTAGTGATTCAGAAGCCTCTTAATCACAAAATACATTTAGGTCAGTCATTTGGCAACAGGAAACCACGCGATTCTTAAAACTCAGAAAAAGGGAAATTTGGAGAAAAAAAAAAAATATATATATATATATATATATATAATATAAAATTTGCAAAGAATTGAGAAAGTGAAAATTTGAAAAAAATAAAATAAAAATTTGAAAAGATACATTATAGAAATTTGATTTTTTTGTTTTTTAAGGAATTGTTTTTTGTTTTTTTTTTGTTTTTTCATTTAAAAAATCTGTTGTTTGGTTGCAAAAATAATGGAACATGATTAATTCTGCAGAAAACAACCCAACTTTAGCTGCAATTGTAGAAAAATGTGGCGATTACACTAAAGTGTCTTAATGGCCAAGTGTAGAAATCAGGGTCACTTTTTTTGGGGGATTGTTTAGTTGGAAACTTGAAATGTCATTTTCTTTCCACTTCTCAAATTCACACTTATGTCCATCAATCACATACCATCAGGAAGTGAAATCATAATTAAACTTCAGAGATCTTGCATTAGAAATAATGTTCCAAATTGTCTGATATGTTTGTAAAACATTTTTTAGATTGATGGCGCTCAGCTGCAGGATTCAGGAAGGTACACATGTGAAGCTACCAATGTTGCTGGAAAAACTGAGAAGAACTATAACTTGATTGTTTGGGGTAAGTCTAACTTTTTTATCACTGGTACTTTTCCTGCTATTAGAACAAATGCTAAAAATGTCGAAATTGTATAAACAAAGTTGATTTCCTGTTTTAGAAGCAGAGATTTCTTGTATTTAAACTCATAATTCTCTTATAATAAAGTTTTTAATATTAATGGTGATGTATATTTGATTTTTAATTAAAGCGATATTTATAGCATTAATTCCTAGTCGGTCAATTCCTTTGTTATCAGGTGCTTAAAGCAATTTGAGTGCCTCCTTAAGTTGTGTTCTTGTTGCAGTTGCTCCCAGTATCCGTGGCTCTGAGGAGGTAACGCCTATGACTGTAATTGAAGGAAGTTTTCTCACTCTTTTGTGTGAGTCCAGTGGCATTCCACCTCCCAGCCTAAAGTGGATGAAAGACGGTGGGTCTTATTATGCAAGCATGAGACAGCAACTCACATGAAGAGAGTGGGGCATTTGATTGCATGTTTCAATGGTCTAACTAGCCTATACTTTCTGCATATTTTAGGTTATGCCCTAAACCCAGACCAGCGGCTCAGGGTTTTGTCTGGAGGGCGTCAGCTGCAGATCTCAAGGGCTGAGAGAGTAGATGTTGGTTCTTACATCTGCACAGCTTCAAGTGCTGCTGGCAGCATCTCAAAGGAATACAGCCTGCAGGTTTATGGTGCATATTCAGAGACATCAAACCCTGCTCTGACCTGTTCTTAAGGTCTCTCACATTTTCACTCTTTCTCCTTTCTCTTATCTATTGAAAAATGCCTCTTTTGTAAGTTGTGGTATAACTTATATACAGAGATGGGAAGTAACAAAGTACAAATACTTCGTTACTGTACTCAAATAGATTTTTCTGATATTTTTACTTTACT